ACCCCTCTTACCCCAGTCTGACAGGGTTCTAACATCAATAAAATGAAGACTTGCCTTCAAGAAGCTCCCAAATAATTTGATTTTGAATAAGAATTTAACCTTTGTCAATGACTTAATTTTAAAACTGTGAGTGTTATGGATAATATTTCCCGTGTACAACAAGATGCCGTGAAGATTAATGAGATCGCTTACAGAAAGTGTTTTAAATGACTGGGCTCAGTGTCAATTTTTGTCATGTTAAATTATTGCTTGCTATTTAGGAGTCCCAAAGGAGGTGCAGATATAGACCAATCTCTTTTCCACTCAGATGAGAGTCCCCTTATGTTGACAAGCTAGTAAATTTAACTGAGCTTCGTGGCTACATTTCATTTTTATGAAGCACCTTTAAAATTTATGTTATATTAGCTTTTCTGATGGGCCCAAATAGCCTTTAAGCTTTTATTTCTTAACACATTGGGAATGAAAAAAAAATTCTCTACAGTTCAGAGACAGTGCCAGTTTCTACCCAGTAAGTTACGCATCCACTCTGTTTTCCTGATTTTTAGATTCTATGAGTGACAGAGTTCTTTGCTGATAGTGGTGAAACGTAAGGTGGGTCTAAGGAGATAGTCTCTTGAGCGTTCTCTATCTCATATGGAGCGTATATACAAACAGGCACGAAGGGTCAGACATTCACTCTTAGGAGGTTAAAGAGGATACTTTTTTTTTTTAAAGAAAAAATCCTTTAATTACATTGTGCTGCTTTCTGACAGTTAAAAATATCCAGACATCAGATTTATAACTCATAGAAGAATGCGCTTCCCAGATCAGAGAGTAGGCAATCACATCATAGAACTACGGCATCGGCAATTTGATTATGTAGCGAGTTTCAATAAGATTCCACCAACTTTTACAGCATATGTAAATGGTTAAGAAGCAACACAAAAAGTTAAAATCCACTACCCACTACCAAAAATTCAAACCTTCTTCATAGTGACCATATCGGACACTTTAGATCAGTCCATTTGGGTTTCTGATGCTGTGAATCTTTACGGAATCTGAAAGTCCCATATTTCTTCAATGGAAAGACTGGTGGAATTGATCTGCTGATTCTGCTTTAGCCACTACTCCTCCAGGGACGCTCATATCAAACATTGAGAGTCACTTATTTAATATTGTTTAAGAGCTATTTTCTTCTTTTTTTTTTTAAATCATTTTCTTAGGGGCTCATACAACTCTTATCACAATCCATACACACATCAATTGTGTAAAGCGCGTTTGTACATCATTCTCAAAACATTTTCTCTCCACTTAAACCCCCGACATTAGGTCCTCATTTTTCCCCTCCCTCCCCACTCCCCCCTCCCTCATGAGCCCTTGATAGTTTATAAATGGGTATTTTGTCATATCTTGCCCTGTCCAATGTCTCCCTTCACACACTTTTCTGTTGTCCGTCCCCCGCGGAGGAGGTCACATATAGTTCCTTGTAATCGGTTCCCTCTTTCCTACCCACTCTCCCTAAAGAGGATACTTTTCAAGAAATAATAAATTTTGACTGTGAAGTAGGTGATGGTTTACAGAGCAGCTCATCTGTTTTACATTCAACAATTCATACATGGTTTGCTTCCTGTCATTCACTGCAGTTGCTTCAATATGCCATCACTGACCGCCCTGTTTCCGTGACATCCCTCCTTCTTTCCTAACCCTCTGTGTTGTATCCTTAGGTCAGTGCGGTCCTTTTTAGCTTCAATGGTTATCCCGGGGCTGAGTTCAGTTCCAGACCTGACAGGTGACTAATAGCCATGGTCTCACAGGTTCCACCAGTCTCTATCCGACCGGTCATCTTGGTCTCTCTTATGGTTTGCAGTTCTGTTCCACATTTGCCTCTATTCTGTCCAGGATCTTCTCCTACCAGTTGCATGGATTTTTGAAAACTGGCTTTTTGTAAACCTTGTATGTTAGTTTCCTACCACATGAAGCACGTTATATCTGGGGCACATTACATACAAAAAATGCAGTATTCACAGTTGAAAGAAGCCAGGCTCAAATGGCTGCATTTATATGACATGTGGGAAAAGGCAAAACTAGGAATAGTTATCAGATCAGTGGTTGCCAAGGGTTGGGAAGAAAGGATAGAGGGGAAAGGGGCCTGAAGGAACATTGTCGAGCACTGGGCACGTAAAAATGGTCTTGACTTTGCTGTGGTATGGGTACATGACTGTTGTCATTAAGTTCCATAGAGTCACTTCTACGCATAGCAACCCAGGTACAACAGAACAAAACACCATCTAATCCAGGGCCGTCCTCACAGTCCTTACGGTGTCAGTCCATCTCTCGAGGGTCTTCTTTTTCATTGACCTTGTACTTTACCAACCGTGATGCCTGTGTTAGGCCAGGTTGACTAGAGAAACAAATCCGGTGACACTCATGTATGTTTAAGAAAGATCTTTACATCAAGAAGTAGTTACGTATTGAGAAAACATCCCAGCCCAGTCCAACTCAAGTCCATACGTCTGATACTAGTCCATAAGTCCCTCTTCGGACTCATGCAGCCACATGCAATGATGCAGAATACAGGAAGATCCCAGGCCGGTGGGTGCAAAGTCTTGTGGATTCGATGGTGGGGGTTAAGCAGGTCTCAGAGTGGTTCACCAGCAGGAGGGGGTGGGGGCTGACCTAGAGAACCATTTATCTCAGTTGTAACTCCAAAGGCCATCAAGCTATGACCTGATTGACAGGCTAAACTGCCCCCCTTTCTTCTTGCAGGTGCCATGTTGGCACAAACAACCTAACCATCACAGTGTTCTTCCCCAGGAACTGGTCTCTCTTGATGACATGCCCAAAGTAAGTGAGACAACATCATTTGATTTATTGACTGCTGCCTCATGAGCATTGATTGTGGATCCAGACACTACTCTGTATTAAAAGAAAAAATGGATGAAAGAAAAAGAAAGATACACAGTTACAAAACCAAGACTTTTTAGGCCCTGTGTAGTGTCACCCCCTAACACACACGTAGACTGGTAAAGGCACACAAAGGTTTGACCTCCTGGTTACGCTCAGAATGGACCAAGCAACCAACGGCAGTTTGACAGAGGAATTTCTTGACCAAACAGTGAAAGCTGAGCAGTAAGTTGAGAGATGAGACATAACAAAACAATAATGAGTTATTAATGATTTTTCGGAAGGTAACAACCAGAAACTCATCCAGTGCCTCCTTCGTGTCCCCTTTCAGCCCTTGCCCTCATTTTCTCTAAAGTTTATCACTATCTTTGCTTTTATAGTAACTGTTTGCTTGCTTTTAAAAATAAGCAAGCTGTCTAACCATATGTCTAGTAATATACTGTCTAATCATATATCCTTAAGCACCAGTTGACTTGCCTGGATGGTACAAAATACCTGACTTGCTACAACTGTATTTATTTCTCCCTAGGATCTTGGCCTCTCATTTCCTGTCTGCCGTGCCAGTCCACCAATGCCTTTAAACAGTGTGGTAGTTACATAATCCGGTATCAATTTGAGACTTAAGAGTGAATGGGTGGAGTTTAGCCTGTCAGTCAGGTCACAGCTTGATGACCTCATTTGGAGGCGATAAGGGGATAAATAGCTCGCTGGAGGCAGGTCACACACATACATTGCGAGGCATTCCTGTTGAGACGACCCATGGAGCTATGCTAGAACCCTGGAGCCACTTGGAGACCCCTGCCAGCGCTGAGATACTTCCACTGCCACTGGATCCACAAGACTTCCTACCCACTGGCCTGTGATCTTCCTGCATTCAGCATCATTGCATGTGTAGCATGAGTCTGAAGAGGACTTTATAGATTGGTATCGGACATATGGGCTAATATTAGACTTATGGACTTGATCTGGACTGGCCTGGGATGTTTCCTCAATATTCAATTGCTCTTGTGTATAAATATCTTTCTTATACACATGAGTGTTTATGAATTTGTTTCTCTAGTCTATCCAGACTAACACAAACAGGTCTTACAAACATTTTTATCCTGCTTTTCTAGTAAGGAGCCTTGGTGGCATGGTAGGCTAAGTGTTGGGCTGCTAGCCCCAAGTTTGGTGGTTCAAACTCATCAACTGCTCCACAGGAGAAAGACGAGGTAGCCTGCTCCTGAAAGGATTTACAGTCTTGCAAACCCTAGCAAACAATTCCACTCCATCATACAGGGTCGCTAGGAGTCAGTGTTGACTGGGTTCCTAAACTCTCACCATGAACTCTTCATGAGAACAGAAGCCCACTGACATGCATAAGATTTGAAGGGGTTTCATCCTCTATAACTACCCCAGGAAGTTGTCTTGTTTTGCTAAGCTTTGCAAAAAGGTATGTGGAGCTAGGGTTGGATTAGGCTCGTTTCCACCTCAATGTCCATTCCAAAATCTGCAGTTATCTTGTCACAGTGGGTCTCTCGGGAGCAGTTCTCTCTGCTCGATGAATCAGAATCAACTTGATGGCAATGGGTTGAGGTGTTTGGAGTGCACTGCCCTACCTGAAGGGTCGCTGTGAGTCAGCATCAACTTGACAGTGAGTTTGGTTTTGGTTTGTTCTTACCTGAAGTGTGACTTTTGACCTAGTGAACCAGTGATTTGTATTTCAATAGAAATGTGTCTTCACTACCTCTGGGGAAGGAAATAATCTAATGAACATTGCCTGCACTTCTCCCTAGTTTGAATTTGGGTCTCCTAGCTCCTTGAAGTTTTGCTTGAAGAATAAATGTGAGAACTCTGTGTGTGGGAAGGATAGGCGTCTCCAAGTTTATGGATATAAGTATGTTAGTCCCTTCAAAAGTGGAAGCCATTTGCAACCGATAATTTTAAAACCCCAGATGAATTTAAACTAAGCCATGCAAATTTAATATCACGAAACCTAATTGGAAACCTCAGAAAAAAACAAACAAGCAAATAATCTGAACTGACTCCTGCCAAGGAATGGGAAAGAGGTTCATTTTTAAGACTTCCTAGAGAGGAGTGAAGACGTCACGTCTTGATGTCTTGTGTTCTCTCAACAGCTCCAAGGCTTGCTCATCAATGAAAGCTGTTTCCTGACACACTTACCACTGACGGTGAATTCTCCTTTTTACCCGAAGAGAATTTCAGTGGGGAGAGAATCAACCAGAAAAGGACGTGTGGCTATTCATATCTTAATCATAGGTAAGCCATTTGTTTAGAAGATGTTCCCATAGTGTGTGGTTGAAAGTACTAAGCAGTGGTTCTCCACCTTCCTAATGCCACGACCATTTAGTACAGTTCCTCACGTGTGGTGACCCCAACCATAAAATTATTTTTGTTGCTGCTTCATAACTGTAATTTTGCGACTGTTATGAATCGGGCAACCTCTGTGAAAGGGTCGTTCAACCCCCAAAGGGGTCACGACCCACAGTTGAGAACCGGTGTGCTAAAGAGTCCATCTTTGACAGGGCCTGGAACCCTAGCAGAGGAGGAGACGCACTAACTCACTGGATCTCATGTTAACAGAGCCAGGCCACTGGTGATCTTTCTATTCGAGATTTGATTTCTCACTCTTCTTCTTACCAGCTACATAAACTTGAGCAAATCTTTTAAATCATCTGAGTCTTCTCATCTAAAACAAAAAGTATTTATGAAAATGCTTTTTAAATGAGGGAGTGCTACATTAAAATGCCATTGCCAGGATCACAGTGCTTTTGTTGTGATACAATTCTAGAGTTGTTTGTGGCCTTGCGACTCATGGTATTTTGGACCAGAGAGTACCGCAAGTTTGGAGACTTTGTCTTGCCTGTGCGGGCATGGGGAGGCATCCCGCACCTGTCTCTTTCCCGAGCGGCATCAACCCATTCTTTTAGCTACAGATATGTGCTACCTGCTTTATGGGATGGGAGAAAGGTGAAGCTTTCTACTCCCATAAAGATTTACTGTCTCGGAGACTGACAGTGGCAATTCTACTTTGTCATGTAGGATCAGTGTAAGTTACTGTTTTTAGTTTTCTTTGGGGGAAACTATAGGAAGAGTTAAAGACAAGATCAAAGCAAAGTAAATAACAACTGCTTATATTCACTTCTACTGAGTTCCTGGGTATTATAAATGGCTAACTCACTCGACTGAAAGGTTGATAGTTCAAATCCACCCAGCGATATCTTGGAAGAAACACCTGGTGGTCTACTTCCAAAAAGGCAGCCACGGAAAATCCTATGGAGGACACTCCACTTCGGCTGGATAGCAACTGGTCAAGTCTTAAGTGCTCCCTGGACTAGGTGGATCCATATTGTTTGGTTTGATCCATGCACCAGCACGACGAGATGGCTTTTATCCTGAAGACGACAGTTGGGACTGTTAGGAAGTCATTTGAGAGAAAATAGAAACCACTCTGGCTGACGGTAATGCAAAAGACATGACTAAGTGGTAAGAATATGACGTGTTCGTTTCCCCCCTAATTATCCCCATGCTCATGTGCAACAAAGAAGTGATTAATTTTAAAAAGTAAGCCACAGATTTGAAAGGAACTTTGTTGAGCATCTTTGTGAATTAGATGCTGGTCTAGCTGCTTTGCAGCCACGTCAGTCAGTGAGACAGATCTAGACCCCTCCGGAGCTGACGTTCGAGCCTGGAAGGAGACAGATGATAAATAAGTAATTTAAAATATTATCAGAAACTAATAGCAACATGGAAAAATAAATAGAGCAGAGAAAGCATGTTTGGGAGTGTTGGGTGAGGCCGGGATCACTTACAAGTACCGTGATCCACAGAGGGGTCAGAGTAGGCCTCACTGGAGAGTGACATGAGGGGTCAGGAGTGTTCCAGGCAGAGGAAGCAGATGACTCAAGGGCCTTACAAAGACAAGTGGACTGGGGTGTTCAAGAACCCTCCAAAAGGCTAGTGGAGGGATATTGGTAGAAGATGAGTTTTAGAGAGGTAGCAAATATAACCTTGTTTTCACCTCATCTGTCAAGTTCCTCTGCAATCACACACACGCGTTCATGCCGTCACTGAATCAGCTCCGCCATTCTAATAATAAACAATACTGTTGTCCCCATTTTACAAGTGGAAAAGAACTTCAATGCCTTACTCAATGTCAAATGGTGAACAAAAGAGCCAGGTTAGTCCCCTTCCCCCTGCTCCTGCTCCTGCGCCTGCGCCTGTGGTGGTAGTTGAATGTGAGGAAGGAGATGGCAGGGGATTGCCCCCGACCCAGGACCAGTGACACACACACACCATGGTGGTCCCCATCCAGATTGCTTAGCTCAGAATCGATGCTTTGCCCCAGAGTCCCTGCTGGGGTCTTGTGCCTCCATACCCCACTGGCCATTTTGCATGGCAAATGTAGGGGAACAGGTGCTTTTTAAGCCCTTTTTAAAGAAATTTGTCAAGAAAAACAATATTGTGATTTCTGTGGCTTCTAGAAACTTTTTGTGACAGAACCACATGGTTTCTTCTCACCCAGCAGAGAAGGAAAACAAAAATTAAAGAAATGCACAGATATACATAGATATAGATATAGATAGATACCTATATGTTTATAACTCTATCTGTAGCTACATATCACACAGAGTGTGTTAGGCCGGGTTGATTAGAGAAGCAAATCGAGTGACACATATATGTGTAAGAAAGAACTTTATATCAAGAAGCAATTGTCTATCAAGCAGATACCCCAGCCCAGTCCAGATCCAGTCCATAAGTCTCATACTAGTCCATAAATCCATCTTCAGACTCATGCAGCCACATGCAATGATGCAGAATGCTGGAAGGTCACAGACTGGTGGGTTCAAAGTCATGTGGGAACAATGGTGTGGCTGCATCACAGGGCTTGCAGCAACCAGGGTCAGCCAGGAGGAAGGTGAAGGCAGAGAGAGAGGGAGGTTCCCAGAGCCCTCCTTAAGAGAAGGCCATGCCCACCAGGAGGTACCGTCAGGCTGTGACCTGATTGACAGGCTAAACTCTACCCCTACACTTTTATATATGTCTCCAAATTGACATGAAATTATGTAACTCCCACACAATGGTACTTCGAAGAGTTAATGGAAAAATTTCATTATCTTTGAATTCTATGTTCCACAAACTTTTTGAAGCCCCCTTCTCCATTTATAGCCAGACAGACAGATGGATAGAGCTGAGTCAGGTGATATATTGCAATCAAATTAAGGGGATTTGGAAACACTAAATATAATTTTTTTGATTATTTTTTAAAGAAACTTGTCCAGTCATTAGCGAGTCTCCATAAAGAGCAGAGCCTTATTTAAGCTAAGACCAGAAGACCTCCGGTGAGATGGACTGGCACAGTGGCCGCCCCAGTGGGCCCAAGCACAGGAACCATTGTGAGGGGTGCAAGACCGGGCAGGGTTTCATTCTGTTTTGCCCAGGGTGGGCATGGGGCGGAATCAACTTGATGGCACCTAAGCTCAATAACAACATTTAAGCCAGGCTTTGAAGGTTTCAGGTGTTGAGTGCCGTCCAGGGGATCCCGACTCTCAGCTACCCTGTGCCGAGGGTTTTCTAGGCTGTAATTCTTACAGGAGCAGATTTCCCCTGGAGACCTTTGGGTGGGTTCAAACTGCTCACCTTTTGCTTAGCAGCCGAGCACTTAACCATTGTGCCACCAGTGCTCCTTTAACTTTGGAAGCTACACTTGAGAAAAGACGACCATGCAGCATCCACTACAGGGATGATACATACAGCATCACTGCCGCAAGGAAGGCTTGGAGAGGTGCACACGAGTTACCGACAATAAAGATAAATTCCATGACACACACCAGTCTGCATTTCAAACCAAAAGGAAAAAAAGAATGGATGAAAAGGAAGAAAATAAAAGATACACAGATACAAAACCCAGACTTTCCAGGCCCTGTCTGTTCCCACCTCCAATCTCTCTCTCTCTCTCTCTCTCTCTCTCTCAGACTGGCACAGGGAGGGGGTGGCTGGACTGGGCTCAATGTGGATGGAGCGACAAAGGGCAGTTCTGACAGGACTTTCTTGACCAAGCAGTCAGTTGCGAGGGGAGACAAAGCCAGAGCTGGAGGGAAGAACTCAGTCAGAACCAGAAAGGTTAGAGCTCTGTCACGAAGTCGAGTGGGAGACAGTTGGATGGGATGTCGGAGGCTTGCTCGTCCGTGGTGCCAAAGTCAAGGTGTGAGGTGGAAAGGCTAGGCCAGGACTGGACCGTCCCCACCAGCGTGCCCCACACGAGGTGGTCACATTGCTTGTCGCCTAGTCTGTCATTTCTTCCCAAGACCCTTCTGTCTCCCTGTTCTGTTTCAGCGTGTGTTTCTTCCCTCCAAGCTCGTTTTCTGCTTCTCCTCTCTGAGCGACATCTGGCTGCTTGGATCTGTGCATTGAACCATATGTTCTTAGTATAGTTAAAAAAAACAAAATAAGTTCCCCTCCTCCAAAGATGGGTCGACTCCTTTGTTAGCATTTCTTTGCTGTGCTCCTGAACATTGCAAAGCTGTCATGCTCCTCTACTGAATGAAAATGACCCGTTTGACTCCTTCTAGCAATGAATTATATCATTGCTTTGGGGGCCTATCTTAATTTGCCATACCTTTACTTTCTCTCTAATGCCTTAACCCCACCTTATAATTTTTTTCTAATCTGACAATTCCCAAATACTGATTTTTTTTCCCTATGCCCAAACGCAGGTTATTTTCTCTTGTCATTTCCCCCAAGGAAGTCCAGGTGCCTTAACTTACCCTGCTTCTTCCTGGGATCTTTTGGCCAATGGGAGAAACATTGGTCATTTTCCTTTATATCTCAACCTAGCTTATGTGTTTGAACTAATAATACGTGTTCAAGGAGCCCTGGTGGCACAGTGGTTATAGTGCTCAGGTCTCCACTGAAGGGTCAGTGATTTGAACCTATAATCTAGCGCTGCGGGAGAAAGATAGGGCTGTCCACTCCCGAAAAGAATACAGCCTGTAACCCTATAGCATGGTTCTGCCTTCTCTTCATGAGTTAGAGTTGACTCAGTGGCATAGGGTTTTTTGGTCTTCACACATAGACATTGTACAACAATGTTTTCCTCTTTCCTCTTCCTCCCTCCCCTCTCCCTGCCTGCCCTGTGGAGCCTTCAAATTCTACTTCCTTTGGTATGAAAACCTTTTTTCTTATTTGTTTGTTGTTGTTTATAATAGTGGTGTTCTGTAGTATTTGCCTATATGAGACTGACTAACTTTGCTGAGAAT